TTTTGGAGGGGGGGGGGTTGTAATGTCATTTGACATTCAATCATGGCTATTTATGGGTTTTCAACATCAATTTTGGGAGAAACATTGCACTGTGTTGGTGCTTTTCCATTTTTTTACATAACGTAATGTCTCCCTAAAGAGCAAAAGAGTCCCTAGGTGCTGGATTGTTTTACTGCTGTTTACTGATTTCCAGATTGTAGTTTTGGTATCCATATGGCAGCTTTGAAGTTTCCAACCCTGTTCTGTTTGAGTCAGAGTGATTTAGGGATGTTTAGATGTTTTAGCTGCTTGCAGATGCTGGATGACAATGTGCACAGTGTGTTGTAATGTCAGGCCTCATGCATAGTTCATCTTTGAGATTCTGAACAGCATGCTACGTTTAATGATTACTTTTGACAAGGTGTTTACCTGGCAGTATATTAAATTGTTTAATTGCTTAAGTTCCCTAAGAGCTCATGATCTTTATCCACATAAAACCTTTGAAGAAAACCAGTGAATGTTTCACATGCTTTAAGATAAACACACATAGTATTCATGTTTTTAATTTAGTCACAAGATGAAATCAAGTCCAGGATTCTCCTGTTTGATTCTGATAAAACCAAAAAACAATGAAAAGCAAAACATGGGATTGCATTTGAGGATCCAGAACTCAATGTTATGTCAGTACCCCAATATAGTTGGTTTTTACACGAAGAAACAGTTTGTGCGTCCAAAAATCTGAACGCACATTGTTTTATTTTAGCCTTCACAGGGTTTCGTCATTTTCCAGGAAGCACAGTTTTTGTGAATTATGTGGTGAAGGGCAAATTCTCAAGCCATTAGCTAGTTTATTTTAGGAGAAAGAAAACCTTTCTAGCTGCCAGCGGCCCTCCTGTTACACACACACACACACACACACACACACACATACATAGCATGCCCACTCATAGCAGTTTCCCGCAGATATCTTTGCCATAAAAGGCATTGTAGTTTCCAGACTCTCAAACCAAGGCAATGTTTTGACCAAAGACCTGTATCATCCACTCAGCTCTAGAAACCCATCTGTGTTTGTGTATCAAACGTTAAAATCACGTTTCTCAACATAGCTTTACAGATTATGTTCTTGGCTCCACCTTGGTAGTGTTCACATTTGAGCTTAATCTGGTGTCACTCCACTTTTGAGGTATGTGCTTTGATTTATTCACAAATAAGCGTAAAATACGACAACAAAAAAGCTGTGAGATGTTTCTGAAATGTTGACTGCATCAACATTGTGTGTTCAGAAACTAATCCTTTATTTTGTAGAATGGAATTTAGGGAAGACACTCCTACATTTATTTAGAAGTCACTCCCAAAACTTTATAGAGTGTATGTAACTTTTAAGAAATTGCATTGTCTTTCAATTCTGGACATTAAAATATATCCTTTATTAGTCAGCAGAGGGATGGGTTTTGCGGGAAGCAGCGTGTTTGAGCTCAGCTGCGTGGATCCATCAAAGGATTTGGGAGATGTTCAGATCTTCCAGCTGGCTCAAGCCTCAAGTTCAAATTCCTACCAGCTGGACCTGACAGCTGCCTGCTTGTTTGCTGGCATCTCTTTCACTTGATAATGGTTGATCCTTCAATGTCGATCCTTTATACTGATCCTGGATCAGTTGTGCAAGTTCTTTGTTAATACATTTCTATCATGACAACTCTCTGAGAGTTTAGCATGATAATGTACATGGCAATGTTGATGTGTTTGGTCTTGGCAGAACAGATCTGCTACACTGCTGCTGCTGCTGCAGAGCAAGTACCGAGACTTGCTACTGCCAATACATCTACAGACAATCTGCTGTGAGCATGTAAGAAATACTGCTGCTGGACATATAACAGATATTAAATAACCCCCATATATAGCATACATGAATCACCCCGTAGCAGATATCTACAGGTGGAGCTGGGGAAGGTGTAGGGTTTCTGAAGTGAGCTGCAACTTCTACAGCAAGCACTAGCCAAGTATTTGAATGTTGAGCAGCAAGCTCATTGGCTGCTGATGTGAAAAGAAGCCAATCAGCTGTGCCATGTGAATAATGATGTGATTATATCAAATTGAGTTAAAACCTGCAGCATCTAGAGTTTCATGAGAGAACTTCATATTTATTTTAGATACGGAAAAGGAAGCCTATCCCAGATCAGTTTTGAAGAATAATTTAATGAGCGAGATATTTCATGTTCTGCTCAATCAGATTTAGAGATCATGTGTCATATTGTGCCGTTGCGCTTCAGGCTTCCCGAGTTTGAATCCCGGCTCGAGGACCTTTCCCGATCCCATACCCCTCTCGCTCTCCCACTTTACTTCCTGTCAACATACTGTTCTATCATAATAAAAGGCAAAAAAACTTTTTTACAAGGTGTTGTTTTCTTACGAATGTGATTCATACAGAAATGTGCGATTTTTAGAAAAACAAGCATATAATGTGATTAATAAGGAAACATGCTTTTTTAAAAGAAAAAAACATGCATGAGGGTCCGCTTCTTAACCTAACCAGTGGGACATATAAGCAGATCGTATGAAAACATACAAATTAGATTACAAATTCGTACGAATTAGCCACCAATTCCCCAAAAAGTAAAATGGCACTGGTTGCTTGAGTCAAAAGTCAAAAGATCCCACCCAGGCCTTTGTTATTCTGGTTTCTAGATATAGTTTGGGTCCATTTTTAGTGTACGTTCGTTGGATGTCATTTTATCATCCATCATGTGCTGTTCTAATCATTCAGGTATCTTTTATGTCCAAAACGCAGGTGCAAGACGAGTTCTGCAATGTTTCGTACCTCCTATTGTTCCCATTTTAATAATGAGGTGGCTCATAATTTAGGGACAGTGTCATTGTTAAAAGAGGATCAAGAAATATTCTCTTTTTTGTTCTTTGTCTCTGTTTCCTTCATATTTAAAATGTTTTATTATCTTTGACCACATTAGCCAAGCAGTAACTTGCCTCATCGTGTGAATTCCCGTGGTGATTTATCGCCGTCTCTTTCCTGTTTTACACGGAACACTAATCCTGAGTAGTTAAACGGAATGACATCCAAATAAAGTTGAAGTTTACCAGACTTCCCACGCTCCAATGATGTTTGATCGGACCGTGCTCCATGATTAACCCTTTTGGACCTTTGACACGAGTCAATTTAAGACCTCGATATGGATGATAAGATCTTTCCCGCTCTGAAGCAATCCAGAATCCTGACAATCCCACAAACCGCTCCTTTGTCTTGGCTTCAATTTGAAAACAGTGTTTATGGACTTTGGTCTCTGAGATAAGTCCCCTTCCTGGTCCTATGATGGACTGTTGTGTGTGAAAAGAGGAACTGGTGAAGGTGGTCAGAAACGTGAGGTTGGGAATGAGCTGTTTACAGTGCAGAGATGCTTTAACAGGAAATCATGTTGGTGGATGAGCTATAAATGTAGTTTCTTTGTGTGATGAAAAACAGCACTGTTTTAAAGCTAAAAGGAAGAAAAGAGTTCAAAAGAATGAGCAGTAAAGGGAAGTTCTTCATAAAAGTGCCTTATTTGTTCACATAAACTTTGAAGGATTTGAAGTGAGTGCAAGGAAAGGATGTAAATTCTTTATAACCTGTCTTTGCCTGTACTCTTGTTATTAGCTGTTTAATGCCCCTGTAACCTTTGTCCCAGGCAGCTGCGGGATCTGCCACAGCAATGCAATTCTGACATTTACATGTTAAAACTAGCACTGGAAGTACAAGTCTGTTTTGACACCTGAGTTTGAAACAGATGAGAAATGTGGGTTACTCCAAAGAAGCGAAGCAGAGACGTAGTTTTAGTTTAGAAACTAGACTAGGAACAGTTGTTGTCAGTGGAAGCTCTTACAATTTTTTTTTTTTGTCTGGATCTATTAATTCATTCATTAAAAATGCAATTCACACATACAGTGACTTGAATACCTCTTTTGTGACGAGCATTTTTAATTTCTAAAATTAAATATATACATTTTTTATTTTATTTTATTTTTTAGGGGTCTTAAAGTAAATGTCTAAGTGGTACAATTGTTCTGCTTATTTTTCATTTATTTATTTATTTTTTTTACTTTAAACTAATATTTTGTTAATATTTGTTAGGGGAAAATATCATTAAAATAGCTTCACTGATGTTATCTGCCAAGTCAAGTCAGGTGGTGCGACCAACATGCAGAAAAAAAAAATCATAAAATAGGAAATTACATCATAGAGAGCACCCCTGCATACTGTTGTGATGCTGCTTAAAATTTGAACAAATTATTATTATTATTATTTATAAGGCAAGGTTAGTTCAGTTCAAAATGTCATGTGGTGCAACTCCCCCAAAACTGAATGAAAAGTTGTGACTTAGTTATGACTTTAAGAAATAAAAAAGTTTACATTGAAATATAATTAAAACTCATTTATTTATTTATATATTTGTTTGTTTGTTTGTACATGTACATATTTTACTTGATAGTTACACTACATGACATTTTTAGTCATTACATTTAAACTGTGTTTGGGAAACATGTTTAAAAAAAAAATTGTGCATTTGATGGTGCTAATGGCAATGAAAAAACACACTTCACTCTATGCATCTCTTCTTAACGTGTCCCTCTTGTTTTGCAGGAAATCCAAAACAAAGCCCAATGGAAAGAAAGCACCCGCTGAAGAGAAGAAGCATTACATGGAGCCAGAGTACACAAAAGTGCGGGTCGTGGACTTCGACCTGAAAGATTTGGTGTCGCTTCCCACCAAAGAGATCGACCTCAACGAATGGCTCGCCAACAACAGTGAGTTCCCAAGCAAACATTACAGCCCCTATGAGTGTTTGCCTTGTATTTTGAGGCTTAGAGTCTTTGTCTTCAAAAATAGCCTTCTGTCAGTCAGGAGTTTAGAAAACAGTCACATTTTTGTGTGTGAGTGCAAAACAGTTGGGAGTATAAAGCAGAGCATGACCTTTTTAAATCGTAAATGTGAAAACAATTAAAATGTGCAAACAATTTTATTATAAACAAATGTTATTTTCTGTTGAAAAGGAAAGTGCTGCTTGCTAACTAATGCTCATCTTTAGGGTTAGTGATTTGAACAAACCCCTACACATACTGTAAGTATACACTTCTAAGTGACTGGACTAAAAACTTCAAAAATAATACTTTCAAGTTTGATGTTAGCATGTTGCTAAGCTAATGACAGGATAGTTAAATAAAATTGGAAAAAAGTAAACCGTAAAAACAAAGTTTTATCATGAACCAAATGTTATTTCCTGTAAAAAAAAAAAAGCAAATGATTAAAAGAAATAAGTGGTTACTAAGTGTTTGCTAACTAGTGTTCATCCAGCTTGCTAATTGAAATTGCTAATGCTAATCCTTAGGGTTAATGATTTGAACAAACCCCTGAATTTCACCTGGTGAACAAAAGCTTTCATGTTTGATGTTAGCATGTTGCTAAGCTACGTATAATTAAATGAAATAAAAACAGCATAGTACACAAAAATATTGGGAAATAATGTTTTTAACTATTTTATTGATAATTTGTGGTATTGAATTAAATATGTTTTTAATCAATTTAATAAGTTTATAACCAACATTTATCTTGCATCGTCCACCATCTTGTATTTTTTTAAGCTTGTCACAGAGCATTCTGGGATTTCCTGCTTCAGAAAAAAATGGTATTTAATGATATTAAATACCTTGCGCTGTTAGCAGCGGAGCCTTTACCGATTGCCTCCATTGATTAAAGCATTCGGCACGTTCGTCTGTGAGTCACGTCACCTCCCAATAACAAACACGCCCCATAGTATAGTCCCGCCCCTAACATTGATTGACAGCTTTCCGTGTAGACATCGGAAATTCAAATGCAAAAGGAATTACGATTTCATTTGAGTTTTGGCAGGTTACATGCATGACGCAGAGAGAGTGACAAAGCAAATGTGGTAATTAATATTGCTATTTAAATATGACGGGTTCATAACTCTTAAGACATGGGAAATACAATTGCAAATGGACTTTGCTTTTTCATTTGAAATGTGGCAGTCACTGTGCGTTCGCGAAAGCAAAAATGCAAACAGTAATGCAATTGCATTTGGATTATGTCACAATTTATACGTCCACATATGGAAAATGCAATTGAAAATACAATTTGCAATTCCTTTTGAAAATTGTCCTGAATATTCCTCCATAGTCTTCAGCTTCAGTGATTCTGAAATATCAATGAAAAATTTGTCCCAACTTTTCGAATGTCACTTTTTAAAACTTTTCTTTTGTCATTTGCAGCAACAACCTTCTTCAATCTCATAAATCTGCAGTATAGCACAATCTCAGAGTTTTGCACTGGGGACACATGTCAAGCCATGACGGCCTGCAATACGTAAGTTTTCCATTCTCTTTCTTTTGTCTGTCTTTCTAGCTCTTTCTTCCTCCAGACATGTCCTGGGACGAGAACCAGAACTCTCCTTTTACCAGAAGTGCTTCTGGATCAAATATTTCTCATATTTACAGTGTTTTTCCATTTTAAGACCAGATTCCAGATCAGCACACCGTCTTTGTGTGAATCTAGGTTTGTGGGTCTGATTGGGGTTAATCCATGACTGGAATGAAAGCTGACACACATTTTACTGAAGCCAGTGCTTGTTTGGCTTTCAGATGTGTTTTGAATGAGAGAATACAAGGGAACTATTCTCAGAATCAGGGATTTTGTAAGTTTCTTGGAGGCGGAACCAATTAAATGACCTTAAAGGCCTATAGTTACATGTTCTCACAGGCTGTTTGGGACGATCAGGGGCCCAAACATAGGATGAAAGAGATCAGTTATACTATTACTTTAGGCAACATTTACCTTACAGCTTTAGTCTCGACCAGCTCAGTGATAGCACAAATTGTTTTTTACTAATTTTAAAAGTACTGTTTAAGAGTACATTTAAATTTCTGAAATAATATATTCAGAAAATGTTGTATTTTTACCTAACAACAACAACAACAACAACAACAACAATAATAATAGTAATAATTATAATAATTATTATTATTTTATTACTATTATTAATAATAATAATTTATAATGAATAAATATAATGGTAATTAATAATAATAATAATTATTATTATTATTATAAATATTATTACTACTACTGTTATTATTCTAAAAATACATTTATAATATGCAAGTTATTATTATTATTATTATTATTATTACTGTTATAAATAAATACACATAAAAACAAATACATATATAAACAAATCCAAATAAATATAAATGTAAAACAAATAAATATATTACTAAACACATTTTTATTAATATAACTAATATATAAATAAAAATAAATATAAATAAAATACAAAATATTTACATATAATTAGATATATACAAATATACATATAAAATATACATTTATGCATTTATTTAATTTATCATTTAAGCACAATGTTAATGATTATTATTTTAATTATTATTTCAGTCATTTTGTGTTTATTTGAAGAATTTGCAATAATTTGTTTTATAACAATTTGCTGTTCCCAAAACAGCTGTCATTATCATCATACAAAGCTTTTTAGAAAACTGGCTTTCTATAAAATTGTTTAAACTTGATTATGATAGAAATGAGCATAGTAAGGAATGTCATTGATTTTAATTTTTTTTTTTAATGATGTGAGCAGCTTTATTACCAAAACGCTCAGTATATCTTCACATAGTTTAACTAACTTATTGAACATTATCTCAAGAAAAAAATAAATAAATAATCAAATAAAATAATCCACCCTCAAACGTTATACCAAAATCCACTTGAAGGTTGATCATAAAGGTTTTACTATTTAAAATGAAACAATCTGAAGAAGTTTCATTTTCAAATTTCAAGCACTGAAAAAATGCCTGTAATTGTAGAATCACCCTTATACAAGTCAAACGGAAAAACGTGCCTCCATCTCTACATTCCCACAGCCAACCGTGTAGACTTTAAAAATCTCTGCTCGTCTTGTTCGCCCTGTTGGTCTGGAGTGACGTCTGGGTGTGAATCTCTAAAGACTGACCCTGTAGAACCAGATACATGACTATTCATGACAAACGTTAAAGGACGTGAATTACCAACACACAAAACACCAACAATTACACGCTCACCTCAGGCATTCCTCACAGGGCAAGGATGGGCGCGCTCGTCAAAACACAAGCCGTATTTACCGTCACCGCCGCTGTCCACTGAGAAATCAATCACTGATGAAAAGGAAAGGGAGGGACTGCGATGTGCAAATAGGCCTGATGTCCATGTTATTGTTATTTATGTGCTCATATGTTGAGGTATGTTATTAGTATGCTTATGTGTGTTTTAGTAGGTGTTTCTTGAACTACAAACACTTCCATTTCCCATGGGTTGATTTTTATTAAAGTCGCAGTCATGTCAGTGCTGCTAGCCTTGTGGACAGCACGCCGACATACAGCGCCGTTGCACTATGAGCGTCCAGAGTTCGAATCCCGACTCGAGGACCTTTCCTGATCCCATCTCCCATCTCTCTCCCACTTCACTTCCTGTCAGCTCAAGAAATAAATAAATGCCAAAAATAAATATTAAAAAAGTTGACTTTTTCAAATTGTTTTTATTCATAAATTGTGCAGTCTTACCCTTGTCCCAAAAATAGACTTTCTATTTCTAAACATTGAAAACATTTAATTAATTTAATTAATTAATTAATTGATTGATTAACTAATTAACTAATTAATTAATTAGAAATAAAAAAAACTAATATTCAGAACTTGTTTTATAAATATATCATTCTTTTTACAGATTATGATAATTAGGGATGCACGGTATTATCGGGCCAATATCGGAATCGGCCGATATGGAAAATTATGCCGATATGAGGAATACATTAACTCACATGTGCTCAGGGTGTGCTAGCGATTAGATCACGTCAGCAGTGTGGCTCATTCTTGAAGCAAAGTTTTGCCTGAATGATGATTAGATTCACTGTTTTGGATCGCTGCATTTAAACTGAGAATGCATGTAAATAATATTTAGACTGTGTTTCTGATTAAATAAAGCAGTAATTGATGCCATAAAATCATGAGTATGTTTTGATTTAAAGGTCAGAATCTATAGCTTACATGAAAACAAATCACAAACATGACACTTAAATGAAATAATTTTATATATACTGATTTATTAATTAATGTGTAATATGTTATATTTTTAAAACAAATTATGAGCTCTAAAAGATTTTCAGAATTTTTACTCTTCAGAACTCTTTTGCTTTAGACCATTTACAAATGTTAAATCATAAAATAAAATGTTAAGGTTACCACTGCATCTTTCTG